GGGGGGGGGGGGGGGGGGGGGGGGGGGGGGGGGGGGGGGGGGGGGGGGGGGGGGGGGGGGGGGGGGGGGGGGGGGGGGGGGGGGGGGGGGGGCGGGGCAGTGGAGAATATATATAGACTTGCTTAACTGAAGAAACTCAAAACCCATGAAAGCCAAGAAATGGCTATAAAAAGACTGGCTTAGCTGAGAGACTCAATACCCATTAAAGCCAAGAAAGAGCTATATATAAAGACTAGCTTAGCTGACGTAACTCAATTAAAATATCCCCAATTTCTACAATCAAGAATAAAGGAGTATCTGAAAAATGTTTTCATTCGCCATCTCTTTTCACTTTCTGTTGGATATTTATTTGGTTTTCTGGGTGTAAGTTTATTGAATCTATTGACATATTGCAGGTTCTAAATTTAACTGAGCTTGAACTGAATCGGGTGGACATTCGAGTCGGGTTGTCTGGATCATTGTATTTCATGGATGGATCTCCTCAAGCAGTGAGACAGCTGCGTAATCTTGTGTCACAGGTACCCATTTGTAATGTATCATTTTTTTTCTTTTGTTCTTTTTCTTCGTTTTTAGTGGTTGATATGAACTTTCAATTAGGTGACAGAAAAAGTATGCGAACTATTGATGGTCAGATTTCATTTTAAATTACTTTTAACTGTGATTGTTTAGGAGCCTATTTACATGTAGGCAACAATATAAAGCTTGAGTGGAGTTATCAGTTTAATTTGAGCGAAACTATTAACATTACCTATGAAATTTTGATCAAGAATGAGAATGTTTGAGTTAGCCGCAGCCTAGCATTAAGCTTGTGAAATTAATGAATGTGGCTCATCAATGAAAAGTTTGTTTCTTTGAAGAATATATTAATAGATGTAGCATTCAAGCAAGAGAGTAAGCTCTCATACGTTGCAGTACCACGTATTAATCTCCAATAAATTACTAGTTTGAAATGTTAGGCCTTTTTGTTAAAATTTTGAAAATCCCTTGTTCACTTGCCTTCTCCAGGACCCAGTACTGTGCAGTGTAACAGTCGGTGTCTCGCATTTCGAGAGATGTGCCCTTTGGGTTCAAGTCCTGTACTACCCCTTCTATGGAAGTGGTGGGGCTGGAGATTACGAAGGTGATTACACTGAAGAAGATTCTCATATTATCAGACAAAAGAGAAGCTTAAGGCCAGAGCTAGGAGAACCTGTGATTTTGAGGTGTCTTCCTTACAAAATCCCGCTGACCGAGCTTCTCTCGCCACATAAAATATCTCCTGTTGAGTTTTTCCGCCTATGGCCCAGCTTACCTGCAATTGTAGAGTATACTGGCACTTATATTTATGAGGGGACTGGCTTCAAGGCTACTGCTGCGCAGCAATATGGAGCATCTCCTTTTTTGAGTGGATTGAAATCGCTGTCCACCAAGCCTTTCCACAGTGTTTGCTCATATATTATTCGAACTTTGGCTGGGTTTCAGGTCTGTTCTATGCTCTTTTTTCTATGTTTGACTCCCTAACCTCCGTGAAAAACGGACAAAAAAAATCTATGACCATGCTCATGATAATATACTAAAATTGTCTGGAAAATATTACAATTCAAAACTATTTGTATTTGCATCCACAAGTACAAACATGTGGTTCAAGAAGGTATCAGCTATTATAAAACCATTGCAGTCGATTGGATGCAAACTTCAAAGTAAAAATACTTAGAGAATTCTCATGTTAGAATTGTGGCAGTGTGTCTGTGGTAAATACTTGGAGATTGGAACATCAGTTATGGCTAGCACAGTTAACCGACAACGACGATGTCTGTGGTAACCCGTGGCCTAACGGAAGTTGTGAGGGATAAATCAAGGAATTGATTAGAACGAGGAATTCAGAGAATAAGAAAGATACATAGGGATTGGAATTTTCTATTATCCCTGCTCTAGACATGCCCAGTTGCCATTTCTACTCTTGGTGGCCTTGCTTCTTAAGGTCTTTTTGAACTGGTATCAAGAAATAAGATGAATATTAATGTTGTACTCCTTGGAACCTGAAGCTAGTTCGTCAGCAGTTTTAATTAATAATTAGTGTTCTGTGCATCCATTACTAACATGTTCCCATTTGAATGCTTGTAGCTTTGTTTGGCTGCAAAAACATGGTATGGCGGGTTCGTGGGGATGATGATATTCGGAGCTAGTGAAGTAAGCAGAAATGTAGATCTCGGCGATGAGACAACAACCATGATATGCAAATTCGTCGTTCGAGCATCTGATGCATCAATTACGAAGGAAATCGAAGCCGATCCTCAAGGTTGGTTGGACGATATAACTGATGGAGGCGTTGAGTACATGCCTGAAGAGGAAGTTAAAGTGGCTGCTGCAGAGAGGCTGAAGATATCAATGGAACGGATAGCTTTGCTCAAGGCAGCCCAACCTCCATCAAAGACCCCAAAATCAGACGACGAAGAAGACGAAGACGAAGACGAGGAAGACGGTGAAGGAGAGAAAAAGAAGAAAGATGGTGAGGAAAAAAACGGTAAGGGACCGTCAACATTGTCGAAGTTAACTGCAGAAGAGGTTGAGCATCTTGCTCTTCAAGCTGCAGTCCTTCAGGAATGGCACATGTTGTGTAAAGATAGAGCGAACAAAGCTAGCTAAGTTGCCGTATTTTTGTGTTTCCAGTTTGACTGCGAGTGTTCATTTGTTAGCTTTGGTATTGTCAATTTTTTTGAGAGGCTATCAATGTGTTTTTAATGTGTATTTTATGGATGGTTTAGATTCTTTGATAAAGTTCACATTTTTTTTAATGTGATCTCCACTTCTACGAATACTTTTTCTTCCTTTTAATGATACTTTAATTGAACGGTAAACGTTATTGAAGTCGCCTTCTCCATCCTCCAACCAAAAAAGTCAGATGTTGAAAGGTAATCTCGGATCATTTTAGCTGCAGGGGAGGCTAAGATGAATGAAAGAAAGAAAAATGTATTCTTTTTCAATATAATTAGCTCATCATAATTAGATTAACCGACGAGTGATCTAGGCAGAAAATTCTCCACGGAAGGAATGAGGACATAGCAAATAAGATCCTAGCGTTAGAGCGGCCCCTTTTGAACCAAAGTGCCTTTACGGGGGAATTTGTTTGCTTCTATTTGGTATTTGGTTAGTAAAGCTTTGCTTACCTTGAACAGCTCTTCAATGAGAAGCCCTTCTTTATTGGGAAAGGTTTCCGATCAGCGGATACCCTGCACACAGGATTGTAGGCAGCAGTGGCCGACCAATAGATCTTTTGGGCCTTCGGATTCGGAAGTTATAGGTTGTTTGCTCGTGACTCGCTTATTGCTCTTATGGTAAGGCTATAGTAATTAGCTTCCGTAGCAGTCACTAAGGCCACGTGTAAATTAGAAAATGAGAATAAAATATACGTGAATTCTCATGAATGAGAATGAAATTTACAGTCTACTCTAAATTTATTAATCTCATCTACGTTCATAATTTATTTTCTTTTTTTTTTTAAATAACAATGAATCTCAATCCCATATTCGTAAATTTGATCCGGAATTAGAAAGAAAAAATCTTATGAACATGGTGATTAAGATGACAGTTATGAACACGATGATTCAGAACAATATCATTTATTTTTTTAATTCTAAGGATTGGATTGGATAGTTACGAACATCATGATTCATAGCTCTTGAGATAATTGAAGCTTATCCCGAATTAGAAAGAGAAAATTCCCCACACGTCTCTACTGCACAAAAGCCTTGGCATTCGGCATTCTGTTCTTCGTTCTCTGATGTCTAATTACACTTTCCATTTCAATTCTCAGAATTCTTCATTGATCCTTACAATTCCTCAATAATCATGCCTCACTTTCGCTCAATCTTCTCCAAATTTAAGTCTCCCAACAAATCCCTTTCTGCTTTTACATCGTCTTCTTCCCTTCATTACCTGCGCGCCAATGCCTCAACTTCTGGATCTCATTTCTCTTCTTTGATCTCCGATTTCGTTCAAAAACAACCAAATAACGCAAATCTCTCAAAATTTCCATCTGGGAATTGGCTGAAATACTTTAGTTTAAGAGGTTACAGCAGAGGCACGGTTCGGAGTTGCGTGGATTTGGTTAGGAGATTCAGTAGTGAGGCGGAACGAGAGTCTATAGAATATGATGTTGTTATCATTGGAGCCGGACCTGCTGGGCTATCGGCGGCGATTCGGTTGAAGCAAATGTGTCGAGAGAAGGGTGTTGATTTATCTGTTTGTGTAGTAGAGAAGGGCGCTGAAGTTGGTAAGCCGCTTGATCATACTCGGATGGATATTGATATGAAATGTGTGCAATTGTGTTTTGATTTGCGGTTTCTTGGATAATTGGCTTGTGTACTGTTGATTTGTTCTTTGGTCTCTATTTTTGGATCATACATAGTATATCAAATTGCTACAGAATCTGGGTTCATTTTGAACTTTGCGTTTTAGAATATACCAATGTGTTGGAGCTGTGTAACTTCTTGGACTTGAAAACATAGCTAGTTGAGTAGGGTCAAGTGTTGAGGAAGTGTTCTTGGGTTCGCCCTCTCTCAGCAATGCCAAGCATCGTGGCTAAGGATGAAGGTATGACAGGGGCTCAATTCAAGCTTCTTTTTGTAATCCTTTGAGTTCAATGAGGGAGAGGAAGGCTTTATAAAAGCGGCTTTTGCCATTATCAATCGCCTTAAGAAAAAGAGGAAGGTCAGTGTTTGGTTCTTTCTCCTTCACCATCAAACACCGTAAACAAGGCTTGGTCTTCAAAAATAGTTAGGCTAGGTGGATCAACACCTGGTTCTTTTCTACCCAGGGGATTTCTACCTAGGTTTCTTCTTCTTTTCTCTCCTATGAAGGAAAAGAGGTTCAGGTGAAGGGTAGGTTTTGGAGTTCAGTTCGTTCACTCGAATTAATTCATCTTTCATCCTATTCTTTAGATTTAGAATTCTAACAAAGAAGGAGAAAAGGCGAAGACAGAGTGAAAGAAGGGAGCACAGGAAAACGCCCTCCTTTTGTCATCCCTACAGCTTTCCAGATTTTGTATTGAATGCGAAGCTAGGACCTAAAAATCATCTTTGAGCCTATGACCCCTATTTGTTTGAATTAGGCTGGTAAAGAATGCCCACAAAATTCAGATAAGGAAATGCTTCCCCCAACTATTAAGGAAAAGGCTCGACGAAGGGACAAGTATGATCTTGATATGATTTTGTTGGATTGGATCCTTTTTGTAGCTGGTTGGGGCTCCTTCCACTTTCTTTCTGGGCTGTTCTTTTTGTAGCCATTTTAACCAGTTGAGTAGGATAAGATCGAGGGAATATCTGAAGGACAGTTGCACAGCCTAGGGATGAAATTGCATGGAGTTGTTGATGCAACAACGAAATACGTGAAGGGGATACATCTCATGAACTTGATGCACCTGATGATCATTGCAATGAAAAGTTCATTTGAATGTTATTAGCTCTGATTTATTTTTCTTTTATTCTCATGGGAAGCAGCATTGCATTTTCTTGGGCCCATTTTAAGTGTCTAGATCCTCTGTAGTCATGGAGATTTATGTTCCCCAATTTTTATGAATTCTTTTTCCTGTATAGATCCTTCTAACTCTTCTATTGTCTCTCAACAGGCGCTCATATCCTCTCTGGAAATGTTTTTGAACCCCGAGCATTGGATGAACTAATCCCCACATGGAAAGAAGATGAGGTTTATTTTATTTAATTAATTAATTTATTTGCTTTTCTTTCTCCTTTATAGAAATTCAGTCCTCCTAATGACAGATCGATCTTTTTTTTTTTTTTTTTTTTGAAATTATGTTTCCATACTAATAAAATAATTACTCTTGCATCTCTGAGATAGAAGGAACTCTTTGCTTCAGGAATTTCCAATAAGTGAATGTTAAAAACTTGCTTTTACTTAATTTTCTAATTTGTACGGGGAATTACAGATGATCCCGATTGACCATAGCATAACTAGAATAACTTCTAGCGATCATTTCTTTTTTATTCAAGATTTAATGTTTGTTGCCAATTATTTGCAGGCACCTATCAGTGTCCCTGTAACTTCTGATAAGTTTCAGTTTCTAACAAAAAATCGTGCCTTTTCACTTCCTTCCCCGTTTAATAATGAAGGAAACTTTGTGATAAGGTACTTACTAATCATGTTTTGAATCAAGCATTAGTGACCATGTATGAATTTATACGCTACAAATTCCTGGGGATTAGTTAAACGGCATGCAGATTAGTTTGCACCATTATGGTTAACTAAAAGAATAATTTTCATGTGGTTAGTAGCCTAAGGTACATCAATGAAATCTAAAGACTCTTCGCTCTCTCTTATAAACTAAAATAAAATAAAGATTCTTCATTCACATTGTATACATCTTTATGGATTTTTCAATGAAATATAAAGATTCTTCATTCACACTGCATACGTATTTATGCGGTTTCCCATAAGTTGGCTACACCAATTTAGCTGAAGAGACAGGAAAGTACGTCTTGTAGGGCATGTATCGAGCGTGGAAGGGGTACTATCTCTTCTTTTTCACTCGTTATTTTTTCATTAATCAAAGATGTTGGTATTGTATGGTTAGCATTGTTAGAATTTGATCGTTGCATTTTGCTTAGTACATTTCATTTTATAATTCCTAAATTATCAGAAGTCGAAATCTCCCCATGGAATTTAACCTTTCGTTTCCTTATTTGGATGTGGGGGAGGGAGTTTTTGCTTGTATTACACTTCTTCTTCGTATTGTTAAAATTTTTGCATGGCTTTCTTTTTTATTGAAAAAACTAAGAGGTGCACTACATTGTAGAGAAATACCCCATTTGCCAAAATCCATTATAGATTATTACTTTGTTTTTCTAATTCTTTTTATTGGGCTGCTTTAAGTGCATGCTTCCTTGTTTTGTAGTTTAAGTCAGTTAGTTCGCTGGATGGGAATGAAAGCTGAAGAGTTGGGGGTAGAAATATATCCAGGATTTGCTGCTAAAGAGGTATTCATTCAAGTCCTTTCTTCTCAATGCTTATCAGCTCTTAGATGATATTCTCAAATTACATGGTGGATTTTACAGGTATTATATGATACAACAGATACAGTTGTTGGCATTAGAACTAATGACATGGGAGTAGCAAAAGATGGCTCAAAGAAGGATAATTTTCAACTTGGTGTAGATTTGAGAGGTTATATCTCTCTCTCTTTTTAAGCTCTCTGTTTTAATGCTAACTTTAAACTAATGTGTAATGTCCTTTATCTTCTATGTAGGGCGCATAACGCTTCTGGCTGAGGGATGCCGAGGATCAATATCAGAGGTTTCATGAATAATATGCATCTGCTTGAGTTGGATATGATCAGACTTTCATTCTTCACCATCTAATGGAATCTTCTTCCTTTTCTGTTTTTCTGTGCAATGAAACAGAAATTAATTAAAAAATACAGTTTGAGGGAGAAAGTAAACGCCCAGCATCAGACGTATGCTTTGGGAATCAAAGAGGTACCCTTGAACATCAATCTCTCTTCCATTTGATAGTTGATCTGTGGATGTTTCAAAGTTTTAAATTCGTGAGAACTATTTTTCCATATATATATTTGAGCAGTGTTAAAAGTCAGATTTGGTACAGAGTGGAAATACAGGAACATTCTTATGAAAGCTATATAAGATTTTTGTTACCTGGCTTGATATAATATTTTTGTTATTGACCACAATGATAAACTTTGCATTGCAACCATGGGGTAACAAGTTTGGGGCTTGGCTCATCAGTTAGTTTTCTGTTGATATATAATTCTCTGGCCCGGACTTTAGTTGGTTATTCTCTAGCTCAGTACTGTTTCCGAGATAGATTTCTGGGAATGGAAAAGAGGAAAAATGAACTCAATTTTTCTTCTTGAACTTTAGCTGCTCTTGATAGGCGACTCAAAAGATGAATTAAAAATAATTACTTTGTTACGTTCCACATAGAAAAGAAAATTTTGGTTTCTTGTTTCACCAAGGAAAAATAGGAAATATTTACAATTAAATGAGTAATTGTACATACTCAGGTGTGGGAAATAGACGAGGACAAACATGATCCAGGAGCTGTGCTTCATACTTTGGGTTGGCCCTTGAATCATAAGACGTATGGAGGCTCGTTTTTGTACCACATGAAGGATAGACAGGTAATACATTGTTTTATATTTGTAGTATATTGTCTATATGACCCAAATGAGGGGGTTATTGTAATTTATTTCTGAGTGGTCTTGTTTAATGTTTCATTCTCCATAATAAGATATATTTTACATTGTAAATCTTCAATCAACCCAAAAGTTTAAGTTGATGGGTTTTAACACTCTTCCTCACACGTGGGATTAAAACTTGTACACTTATTTGAAGCCAAATTCTTGCAGTTAATTAAACTTAAGTTTCATCCCCAACCATCTCCGTTCATGTATATACTTTAAACCTTTTGCAGAAGGATTTTCATTGTATATTCTGCTAGAGAACTATTTATTGTGTCATCAAAATCCTGGTCATTTTTGCCCGTATCTTTCACTTCAATTTCTACTGAGCATACTGCAACCTTGTTTATCGGCACGTAGTTCCCTGATAGTTCCTTTGGTTTCAAAGCCGTTTTTATGCACAACTTCATGAGCAATATGCTATTTGTGTCTTTTTTCTCTAACTGAAGCTTCCCTTAAATTTACAGATTTCTATCGGCCTTGTAGTTGCTCTAAATTATCAGAATCCTTTCTTGAATCCTTATGAAGAATTTCAGGTAAAATATTCTTTTTGTATTATTTGCATTAGCATTCACCTCTCAAGAATCCCTATTGAGCCCATTAAAAATATTTATTTAGCCTGACATGATTTTTGTTTCTGTTAGAAATTAAAACATCATCCTGTCATCAAAGAACTTCTAGAAGGTGGGACAGTTGTGCAATATGGGGCTCGAACGTTAAATGAAGGCGGTCTTCAGGTGTGCAAACCTTTCTTTTCTGTAAAGTTTCACTCAATTGCGTTATACTTCGAGTTTTCAAGAAAATGTCATCGCTCTAAATTGAAGGGTCTTTGGAGTCGGGCAAATTTAAAATAAAAATCAACATGCCATCTAATGTTATTCATTTTTACTGTTTGCATCTTTGATATCTTATTGGCTAGTTAAGGTTAATGAAAAGAAGAATGGATATCCATAAACTGGTTGTTATTTGTTATCATTAAACTTAAATTGTAAGTAATTGCAGCAGATTCAGTTGTAAACTGTCTGAGAAGGATTTATGACTTTCATTTTCTGTAAATATCATTTACTATCAAATAGGAATATGATACAAGTTGAATTTCAGTCTGTTCCATATCCAGTTTTCCCGGGAGGAGCAATTATTGGATGTTCAGCTGGCTTTTTAAATGTACCAAAGATTAAGGGAACACACACTGCAATGAAGTCGGGTACTTCTCAAAATTCTTTGATTTGTAATTCATCTAACTCTTTAAGAATAGCAATTCATTCTATATCACTTCTGAGGAAGCTATCTTTTCTGTTTTTATTGAACTCATTTCTTTCTTTAGCCTAGTTCAAGACATCTCCATGACCGCGACTCTTGTTTCCTTCTGAATATTAGCTCCTCTCTTTACTTCTTCGGTTTCACAGTCTTAAAAACATCCTAAATATGTAAAATAAACAATCAAAGACTGATATCTTACCCCTTCTAGTGTTCTCAAGTGTAGCTCAAACTGGTTGCTTGCCTTACGCCTTCTGGATTGTAATTAAGACAAGCAAACTTTTACGTTTTTTGGTCCGAGTTCCCGGCAACATTATTTTGACTAATATAACATTTTCTACTAAATAAACTGAGGATTTGTTTGTGAGAACGTGTTGATAAATGTTTCAGTTTAGTTCTTTTATAAGTAATATCACTCTCTTTGTTCTGGTTTTGCCATTGTAAAGTCAGGTGATAGATAATACCGATGTCTTGAGGGCAAAAAAATTTACATTATAAGTATCTGTTCGTATTTTCTCTTCATGATTGCTGATAGTATAGCCGAACTTTTTCAGAAGAAGTATTTTAGACGTTCGGATTCTCTGTTTATCGTTTTTTTTTTTCATGTTTACCATAATTAGACCAAGATTCCTGTGGCAAACTTCCCATAGAAGTTGCTGTATAATCTTCTTTTCTTATCCGATATCCATAGTGCTGGACTTTATGCATCTCATGTGTTCTTTCTACATCGTACGTACACTTACTAAACTCTGTTTCCTTTAAGTTCAATGATGTAGTATCTTCTGGGACAAGTATCCATTTGCCCCCACCCCTTTGATGAATTGTTTTCAATGAATACAGTAATATCTGTACAATACTACATAATTCAATGTCTTCCGAAATACTTGCTTTTGGCACTCTTCATGGATATAATGTTCAAGTCCCTACTTTCTAACAGGAATGCTGGCAGCTGAGGCTGCATTTGACACTCTTCATGGAGGCTTGAAAATGGATGTGTACTGGGATAGTTTGCGAGGTTCCTGGATATGGGAAGAACTATATCGAGCTCGGAACTATCGACCTGTAGGCAGCTGTTCTTCTCTTCCCATTTTTTTTATAGATGGAGAGTAAAAAGTTTTCGCTAAAATGTGCTGTAATTTTGTTGTTGCAGGCATTCGAGCATGGTCTTATCCCGGGCTTGACCCTAAGTGCCCTGGAGCAGTACGTATTCGTCCTCACCTTCAGCTGTTTACTAGCACTTAATATAGTTATTTATGTGTGTGAAGACTATTCAGATCTCTTTATGTTCTTTCAGTTCAGTGACAATTTTAACACAATTTTTTTTTTCTGCCTGCAGCTATGTGCTTAAAGGAAGGTCCCCTCTCACACTAAAGCATGGGAAACCTGACCACCAAGCTACAGATGTGAGTATTTCTTATTTCAAAATCTTGCATCTTATTTGTCGGATTAAGAAACATAATAATAAAGCTACAGTTTCCAAGTAATAATAAAGATCAAAATTCTATTTTATTTTGAATCTCTGATCTTTGCTGTCATTTATGAAGGTTGCAAGTTCACATACTCCAATCGAATATCCAAAGCATGATAATCTTCTGTCATTCGATGTGCCGACCTCGCTACACAGGTAACTTCCTTTTTGTAGTTTCAGCTAAACAGGCAATTACCCGCTTCTCACTGATTGTATCTTGTGTGTGGTATAATCCCTAAACTGGTCTGAATAAAATGAACTGGTGCTTGATAAGTTTTTTCTTTTATTTGTATGGATTTACAAGAGTTCAATGCTCTACTCCTGGGATGCATTCTCTTCCTCCAAAAACTAAAATAAAATAAGAAAAACACAGAAGAGGAGGAAAAGTGAGAACTGGAAACTATAACTTAGTAGGGAGGACACATCACTATGCTAAGGTAAATGTTAGCTTTAGTTATTTAGTTCGGAAGAACTGACCGCATTCGGTGGATTGTTAGGCCTTTATGGTTTGATCGTTGGGAAGGGGGAGCCTACGCTGATGATTATTAGGGACTGGTTAACAGCTCAGGCAAATATTGTTCTTTTTGGGCTCTTCTCTTTTCGGACTTTCCTTCAAGGTTTTTCAAACGCGTATGCTACGGAGAGGTTTTCACACCCTTATAAAGAATGTTTTGTTCCCCTCTCTAACCGATGTGGGATCTCACAATCCACCCTCCTTCGAGGCCCAGCGTCTTCGTTGACACTCATTCCTCTCTCCAATCGATGTGAGATCTCATAATCCACCCCCCTTAAGGCCCCAGCGTCCTCGTTGGCTCACCGCCCAGTATCCACCCTCCTTCAGGGCTTAGTGGGCTTCCCCTTATAATTTTTAAAACGCGTATGCTAGGGAGAGGTTTCCACACCCTTGCAAAGAATGATTTGTTCTCCTCTCCAACCAATATGAGATCTCAAAGTTTAATTGTTTGGAAGGAGGAGCCTACACCCTGCGGATGATTATTAGGGACTGGTAGGCTCTTGTGGTTTAATTATTGGGAAGGGGGACCCTCCACCCCTGACCCCTAAGCTGTCTTTGGTTTTTTTGGAATACAATTCCCTTTTGATGTTTCTTTAAAAAAGAAAAGAAAAGAAAAAGAACTGACATGAGGTAAAGTTGAATGTTAATATTGTTGCTATCAGTTTTGTCTACTAGAGGCACTAAGTTTCCTTTACAATGATACTTGTTAATTGATGACCTGATCACTTTTTTCATGGTGAGAAAGCGTGGCATTTTTCTCTTTTTCTGATATTTATGCGGTCTTCCAGCCATTGATGAATGATTGAAAATGTGTATATGAATCATATAGGAGCAACACAAACCATGAACATGATCAGCCAGCCCACCTTCGCTTAAGGGACCCTAAGATTCCCGAGGAAGTAAATTTGAAAGAATACGCTGCACCCGAGTCAAGATATTGTCCCGCACGTGTATACGAGTAATACATATAAACGCCAACGCTCGTATCGTATACTTGAAAACTTTCATCTGATCATTGCTAATTGTGTGTATGCTTTGAGTGGTATCATAGGTACATACCTGATGAAAACAACCAGATGAAGTTGCAGATTAATGCTCAGAACTGTCTTCATTGCAAGGTAATGTCCACTGCATTTGACCTTTCATTTGAACTACTTGTTACAGTTTCTGGTGTTGAGTTCCTGCCTGCATTTTCCCTTTGGCTCATGCTGGCAGGAAGAATGTTGTATGGTTGTTGTCTCTTTGTTGAATCAATGATACTTTTTGTTTCAGGCTTGTGATATTAAAGACCCGAAACAGAACATCGAGTGGAGTGTCCCGGAGGGCGGTGGCGGTCCTGGCTACTCCGTCATGTAAAATGTATAGAATGGTGTGGAGATTGTTCGAGAATAAATGAGCTTCTGTTCCAAAACTTTTGCTCAAATCGAAGAACTTTCATCTTTACTAATAAACTAAATGATTCACTCACTTTTGAACTCTACTTCTATCTATACGATCTTCTTGACGAATGATTTCAAAATACAAGCTAAGTTCTAATAACGGTAAAAGTATAATATTTTTTTATAATATTTGAAAACTAAAAAAAATCTTTTAGGTTATTACGAAAAACTCTCCTATATATTTAAATCCGTTAATAAATTTAATAATACGTTGACTTTGCGTAACAAATTTTAATAAATGTTTGTACTAAATGTCTTAATTGAGATGAGATTTATTCAAATGATTGGGAAAAAATGGAAAACTATTAAAGCCTATTATTGAGATATGTTCCATGTAATTTATTTCAAGAAGTAAAAAATTAATTTTTTTAAGAACATATTCAAATAATATTACACACAAAAAAATAATAATAATAATTCGACAAGTCGACATTTTCATGTCTCCAGGTTTGATATCGACATATGTAATATAACAACATTTTCAGTGAATTATATCATAAAAGTAATAAAAATTATAAATTTTAATTTATTAAAAAAAATGTATATATATGGTAACTTTTCACAAATATCGGCCAACATCCAAATTTTATCTATATTTTCATAAAATAGGTAAAAAAAAAAAAGCAATTTTTTTTTTTTACTTTCGTTTGAACTTTAAAATTATTAAAAAAAAAAAATTAACAGAAAATTGAAATAGTTACTCAAAGGCTGGCAAACAAAATCTATATAGATAAAAGTATCTGTAAGCAAATAGTTACCCTGGTCCATTTTGACACATATCAAACATTTCGATTGTAATAGTTCAAGTACACCGCTAACAGATATTGTCTGTTTTCTTTTACGTATTGCCATCAGTCTTACGGTTTTAAAACGTCTGTTAGGAAGAGGTTTTCACACCCTTATAAGGAATGCTTAGTTCTCCTCTCCAACCAATGTGGAATCTCATGTCGATATATACTAGTTTGACACATATCCAACACTTGTTTGACATAGACTTATTGACTTTGAATTTCCGTTCTTTTTAGACAACTAATGACACGATAGGAACAACATCAGCAACTGTAATATCCACAAATTAATAACAAATCATCTACCACTTTGTTGTCTACAGATAAAGAACTTCAAAAAAGCAAATGAGCATATGATGCTTGAGGGGATGGGAACCGTGAGTTCAGAAAGCAAATGTATGGAATGTGCTACCTAAGTAATGAATGCAACTAAATTGACTTCTAAGAGTAACGTTCTCAGACAGTGAGCCATATCTTTTCTTTACAAACAAACTATTCTCGACGTAGTTGGTCATGAAAATCACCTTGTTTCAACAAGAGGTAGGAGGAGGCTTCGTGTCCGATGCAGCGTCTTTTGAGCTTTGAGGAGATATGGATCGTTTCATTCTGATGTCTCCAGCCTGCTGTTGCTGAAGCTGATGCAGCTGCTGGTACTGAAAATGCTGTTGCTGTTGGGATTGTATTTGAAGTTGCTGAAACTGCTGCGCAGTTAACAAAGTATGAACTGCTTGATTGTTTGAAGGATAGAATTGTTGGCCGCCTCCAAAGGAAGCAAAGTTTGTGATTGATCTACCGTTCGGCATTGCTTGGCCAGTCAAAACTTTCAAATACTGAATTTCTTCTTTCAGTGCTTCATTTAAAGCTGTCAAAAGAGACAAACTTTTATCAATTTGTGAGAAATCTGCCTCCCATATCTAACTTCCTCTCAGAGCTAAGTCAAGGAGAACTCGATTTCGATTTTTTTTTAATGATAAGTCAACGTTTCATTGATACAAATCGAAAAAAATACAAGGACATCTAAAAAAACAAAGCCCTAGAAGCGAAACTCTACCTAAAGGAAGGGGATCCAATCAAGTAAAATGTAAAGAGACTTTGCACCAACTAAGAAGCACATATACAGATACAAGGCATGGACACGGTGACATCTCGTTTTTTTAAATTTATGACACAGATACAACAAGGACACACTTAATAAGTGCTCGATGCATGCCTAATCAATGTTGGATCTACTTTGACTTTGTACAACTAGTGATCTATTGCACTAACAAGTGTCTGATACATGTCCAATAAGTGTATGGCACGTACTGAACACGCACATGTTAGAGACTCTATTGTTCATCCCCCTCCATAGACCCCACATCAAATAACATACCCCGATTTGCTACAAGAACCTAAAACGGAAAATGGCTAAGGAACTCAATTGTCACTAAAATCTATGTGAAGCTAACGAAAAGCCAAACATGGGAGGACTCCAGTTCATTAACTACTTAAATATAGAGTTAGCAGCACTAGTGTACCACTCCCATCTAATAAACTCCCAAATGAAACCCCAAGAAAAATGCTAACGTCAATAGAATCTCATCCTCGCACCATGCCTTTCACCCAATAAAGAAGTTGGCACCTTCCAACTTCAAGATGCCTTCCTTTCCTGGAAGCCTGTGAGATCCCATATCGGTTCGAGAGGGAAATGAATCATTCATTATAAGGGTGTGGAAATCTCTCCCTAGCAGACGTGTTTAAAAATCTTGAGGGAAAGTCCGAAAGGAAAAGCCCAAAGAGGACAATATCCGCTAACGGTGGGCTTGGACTGTTACAAAGTCTGTCAATCAATTTCCTACAACTATATCCATTCTAACTGCATTAAGTACCTGACTGCTATCCACATTCTTAAGGTGATACATGCAACCCAAGTATGGCTTCAGACCAACTCATTTATTTTCTCTCTCCCTCTCAACAAGACACATCATATCCTGTAATTGTTAAAGAGCTATGTACTAATGCATCATTTGATCAATTTTTCTTTGTATTCAACTCTAATGCATGGCCAATTGTGTCATTCCAGTACGAAGCCCTGATGGACCTTACACTGCAAAAGCTCCTACGGTGTTGTATAAAGGGAAGAGTAGGCAAATATAAATGCGGCAGACACCTAAAAAATGTAATAACAGAGAAGGAGGCTCTTACCATCTTGCAGGTGAACCTGCTGTTCCATTGTCTGCAATCGCAGCTTTAATTCACTGTTCTCGGCAGTGATACCATTTGCATCTCTCTGGTTGAAAGACAATTAAAAAAAATGATATCATTCCACAAGTGAAATGCAGATAAAATAGAACGTGGGACTCTAAATGATGTGAATATAGAATAAGCATAATAATAATAACACAATCAACCTGTAAGAGAGTCAACTGAGTAGACAAGGAAGTTGCCTCTGTTTGCAATGTTTGAACTTTCCTTTCAAGCTCAGCAATGTACCGCATCTTTCGTTCCTTTGACCGTGCAGCTGACTGTCTGTTCGCCCATATCCTATGCATTGGATAACAGAGAAAATTACAAACACAATAACTAAAAGACGTGAAAAAACAGATATGAACATCTTTCCAGTCTCAAACATGAAAAGATTGGAGGATACATGTTTTAGAATGGAGAGGAAGCATATTGAAAAACAAACTATCGGTCCTTGAGATAAGAGAGGAATGAAACATAATCCATAACCAATGCAGATAGATTTTCTAAGCTGAACCACTGCATGATACAAAAGATTGTGGTTACTTTTTTTTCAAGCAGAAAATCATCAAGGTCTTGATATCTTCTGAAGCACGATAACCGACAAAGTTAATTCCATTAAAAGTGAAATTATATGGAAATGCATAATCCCGTACATTTTTCATCATACAAGCAAAACTTTAGGATGCTCTGAAATGGGTGTTTAAGAAATCAAATCAAAAGTCCTCAAACCACACACATAACGAAACAAGTGGTAGGAATTGAAGGAACAAGGAGAAGCACACGACAGCAGATATGAGCAAACTTTCGTTTAATACAAAGTAATACTGTACAAATAAGGGGAGGCCCCAAGGTCTATCACTTGTTTTGGTAAAAGGGCATAATCTCACACACACACACACACACACACACAAAATGGCAAAGTAATAACCACATGGAAGAAATCATGAAACTAAAAAATAGTAGTTGTTAAGCCTAACCTAACCTGTTGTCAAACATCGACACAAAAATATTGTGGGATCCCACATCGGTTGGAGAGGAGAACGAAGCATTCTTTATAAGGGTGTGGAAATTTCTCCCTAGCAGACATGTTTTAAAAACCTTGTGGGGGAAGCCCGAAAGGAAAAGCCCAAAAAAGACAATATCTGCTAGCAGTGGCTTTAGGCCGTTACAAATATACATAGATATATATAGATATATATATATATTATTTGAATACCATCATACAGGTATCTCAAATTACATTAAAATATGAAAGTACGTTGCATTACATGCATAAATGAAAAGCAAAGATGATGCTGACTAGAAAATGGGCAAACATAGCAGAGCATGTAGAATCTGTTTTGAATACATCATAAAAGACTACGCCAAGAAAAGTTGACTGTCACTTTCTTTTCACGTCAAACAAAATGGAAAGGAGTTGTGAAGGAAATATACCTTTTTGCACGTTTGGGGTCAATCAACGCAAGCTCAGCAAGCTTAGCAGCTGACACGGCTTTCTTGGAGTCAGCTGCAGAGGCTTCTTCAGAACCCGTGACAAGCATCTCAGGTTTGATGTTTGTCAAGCCGTCCATGGACTGGCTATGCTGATGTCTAACTCTCGGCCTCTCCTTCAAACCAACAGCAATATCATCTGTAGAAGTAGCCGCTGCTTCTACAACGGAGGAAGATGAATCACCCACTTTAGTAGCAGAAGTACCAGTGGAGGAATTGAATTTATCCATGTCAAGGTACATGGACAACAAATCTTCCTCAGTATCATCGGAAAGAGAAGGCCCATCACCACCGCCAATGATACCAAGGTCACTATCGAAACAGATATCATCTGGGAGGGTCAGGATCTCTGAATGAGCACGTCTATGCCCAACATTTCGCCGCGGATTTTCAGGCATTCGACTAATATCATGGCTAAACCGATTGGAATCGGTGGACATTCCACGGCCAGATTGACCACCCCAATCGGAATTACCACTGGGAGCCAATGGAGGCAATGACAATGAAGACGAGGCTGCCTCAGATTTTCCATTGAAACTACTTTCAGCCGATGAAAACGCCGAGTAACGAGTTGATTCGTGCAGAAATCCTCCCCCACGGCATTGGGGCTTCTCGTTGTCCATCAGCTAAGAACACGCTTATAAAGCAACTAAATAAGAAGGAAACTCAAAGCGGCAGATTCTTCTTCCCTTCGAAGCAACAAGCAGATTGAATCAAACCTCGAAGAAACTCAAGCACATTACGGATCAAGTGACTGAAATCAACAGAACGAAGAAAAAGAGCAAATTAAAAAGAGCAGGAGAGTAGATTGCAAAAAACCAAACCAAAACCAGAGATCTGAATCATCAATGTATTGAAAATGGGTCAAGAAAACTAAAATCAACCAGAAGAACAGTGAAGAAGCTAACGATAAAAGGATTTATAACACAACACAGAAAAAGACATACAGAATGCAATCAAATTAAACTAGACAGAAATTTTTCATCAAACAAGCAAAACTCCACGACGTTCCGAAATGAGTGATGAAGGAATCAAATCAAAAGCCCTCAAAACAAACACACATTACGAATCAAGTGGTGTAAATCGAAGAACACAACAGCCAATGCGTAGAGGACAAGAAACAAAACAACAACCAGAAATCGAAATCGTCAATGCGTTCAAAATGGGTCGAAAAAACACGACAGTGAAGAAGCAGGCGAACGAAAATTGAGAGAGACGAGTTCGAGAGGAGCTGTAGAGAGGGAATCGAACCCGAATTCACGCAATCGACCCAAATAAATGTGAATGATTTCTATTTTTTCGTAATGAAATAAAATATTATTACCATTGCCCTGCTCTTCATTCCTTTCCTCCTTGGAAGAGCATCCTTCCGACAATTTTACTGAATTTTCGGGTAGGTTTGAAACAAATTTATATTGAACATTATATTCCCATATGATCTTGATTTTTCTATACTCGTCTGTGACATAAACCTTGAAATTAGTTCATATTATATGTTTATATGTGACGAAAATCTAAATTTGGCATTCGTGTGTCCCCACGTTCTCCTACAACATGGTCACCTTACTCATTATATCAATAGACCGACTCTAACATGTTTTGTTCTCATTCACATGTATTTTATAAAAAATTATAAGATGTCATTCAACCTACCATTGTTTCAAGCCAAGCATGTTTAATTTTCGAGTTCCTATAGTTAAGTCGCTCAAAATGATGAGGTACATTGTTAGTATAATTTTTTTTTTTTAAACGCTCTACCTTATGAATATTCATATTTTATCCTTTTTTTTTTTTTACGACAAAAATTGTTTTAAACCATAACAAAGAAAGAAGAGTAACGAGTAGGAGTACATGTGTCAAATCTCAAATATGCCTTAAATTTTAGGTAGGTTTTGGTTACGTCGATGTCCATTCAAATATGTCGAGTAGAGGTATTGACTCATACCCAACATTATAATTGCATCTAAAACACACCGGTAACTTTCAATTTTTTCTTAAATTGTTCTTAGCCATCTGGTCACTGTTCTTTTTTAATTGTTCTTAGTCATCTTATCTTTAAGATTGTTCTCATGATACTGATTTTCTCATGATCAGAAGACTTGGAAAAAATCAAGACTTGGAAAAAATCATCTTATCTTTAAGATTGTTCTCATGATACTGATTTTCTCGTGATCAGAAGACTTGGAAAAAATCATCTTATCTTTAAGATTGTTCTCATGATACTGATTTTCTCGTGATCAGAAGACTTGGAAAAAATCATCTTATCTTCAAGATTGTTCTCATGATACTGATTTTCTCGTGATCAGAAGACTTGAAAAAAATGAAATATTTTAAGAACAAGCAAACTAAAAAAGACTAAAAAAAAACGTTAAAATTTGAGCTCTCTTTTATTAACGAAAATTAAAACAAAACGACTGAATATTGGTAAAAAAAAATTAGGATAGAACGATGAATCATTATCGACATACTTACATTTTCAAAGCATATGATTCCTAGAAGAATCAAAAGTACCATTCCATCTATTACTTTTGTGTGAATGATTAATATTTTCTTGTTTTCACCCTTTTTTATTTTAAAGGTTTGATTTTTGTGAGACATATCCACGAGCCTAATAAAAACGGGTGATAACGAGATTTGAAAAATAAAGTTTAAACAGGATCAAAAACCAAAATGGAAATTACTAAACAGGGTCTTGTGCACATTTGTTTCGTTCATCTCTCAGTATAATTATTTGTACGCACAAACAAACTGATGTGTACACCAAAAGATAAAGATTATTCTTTGTACATTAGAAGATGTAGGTTGGAACCTGGAGAGGGAACCTTGCCACTTGAACTTCAAATGGGCTGCCTTCTTGATATGTCAAACTGAAAAATTATTTCAACACAACTTAGCTATATACAATAGATATATACAATAGATAGGGACACAGAGTATTCGAGAATGACCTAAGACTATGGACACAGAGCATTCGAGAGAGACATCATTCCGAGTAGAAACTCAACCAACTGCTAACCAACTCAACTTTTAATTTATTTTGATTTGGATCGAGATGGAGTAAATATATGAGATAGGATATAAAATCATTTGGATTCCAAAATTAATTTGTCTACTCCGAAATTTCAAACCATCATCCCGTACTCATTCTCTAACCACAACATAGGCCCGACCAAAATTTCAAACCATCAACCCTTACTCATTCCCTAACCACAACATACTTGAAAACTCTAAAAGTTATTAAGTCCGAAATTTCAAACCATCACCTCGTACTCATTCTCTACCCACAACATAGGCCCGACCAAAATTTCAAACCATCAACCCGTATTCATCACAACATACTTGAAAACTCTACTGACTCGTCACAACATACTTGAAAACTCATCATCACAACATACTTGAAAACTCATCATCACAACATACTTGAAAACTTGAACATAGGAACCAAAACGATGGAAAAAGGTGAACATTTCCTATTATTTCCTATGGCCTATTAGAACATGTTCATATTTCCTATCCTATTGGCCTATTAGAAGACATTCATGGGTTATGGACAGGTCATTAATGATCCAACATCAAAAAAATCAGAAAATAGATTATGGCCTATTAGAAGACATTCATATTCATATGTACTTATGAACAAGTCGTCAATGATCCCAAAATCAGAAAATAGATTACCAAAATCAGAAAAAAAAAAAAAAAATCAGAGAATAGATTACCTCCCGGGGACAAATGTAAAAGACCCTTCAATGGAGCCCATGGATGAATGGAGAGATGAGCAACTCTCGTAAACAAATTCTTTTTCTCCTGGTTGCAAGAGGGGATACTACAATGAAAACAGTAGATAAGTTTCACATGGTAGATAATACAAATTCAATCAACAAAAATATAACATTAAAAATATAACATTAAGAATAAATAAGTAAAGACAGATGCTCAAGTGAGGTGTTATCATTCCTTTTGAATAAGAATAAATATAATTGCTCACATTTATCCCAATAATAATATATATATATATATATATATATATATATATATATATATATATATATATATATTTGTATATAATACATATGTGTATGTAGCTACATACATATATGCATACGTGTGTGCAGCTACCTATAATATAATTACGTGTATGCAGCTACATATAACATAATTACGTGTATGCAGCTACATATAACATAATTACGTGTATGCAGCTACATATAACATAATTACGTGTATGCAGCTACATATAGTATAATTACGTGTATGCAGCTACATATAATATAATTACGTGTATGTAGTTACATATAATATAATTACGTGTATGTAGTTACATATAATATAATTACCTTTCCAATAACAGCCTCTCCATTAACTCTAGAAACCACGTAGTCATTAGCTCGAATGATCCAGTGTCTAAGATGCAATTGACATGAGCTGAATGTCATCCCATCCATGATGCAACCTTCAGGCTGCAATGACATGCGAATTGAATATGAAAATTGATAGTTTCCACCACTATCTAGAAGATCCGTGAACTCCGGGATAAAGATAGCAGAAGCACGAACCTGAACGAACAAAATAACACTTAGTTAGACCATAAAATAGAAAAGAACGGATTGGAATGAAAGAATATCTTTAAGTTTGCTAAAAACATCTAAAAAGATGGACCGGGCATAGATGATACATGTCACTCTGAATGGATCGAGAAACTATAATATCTAAAAGTAAAACTTACACGAACACCATTGGTCGTTGCAACAGAGCAAAAGGGAGGTTCCTCCGGAAAAAGAGAGATGCTCCTAATGTTATTAGTTTCACGAAGCTTGATAATACCATTTTCTAAGCGTCTAACATGCTCTTCTAGCCATAATAACATAGCATCTTGTTGTTGGTCTGTGTTATACTCATGCACCGAGTTTATCAATGCACCAGGTACACAAGGAATCATTTCTCCATCTTCTCGAAGATTTGCAGTACCCACAAAGAGTTGACCCGAAGCACAATTAAGGAAAAAAACCTTATGAACGAGCGTAGAAGACGAAGCTACAACAATGAATTTAGATCTCCTCGAGAAACCAAGTTCTTGAATGATTGATTTCGTTTCAGTGATCACTTGTCTCAAATGCAACAAATAAACATTTACCGTCTGTTCATAGAAAGTATATCCCCCAATTAACCCGAACGGGAAGCCTCGAACACTATCAACATATCTGCCTTTCAAATCTTGACCATTATGAAAACGATAAAGAATCCTCGTTGGAAGAGGTAGCTTCACTTTCAAAGCATTTTCCAATTCTTCAATGTCAGCTTCTGATGCACCTTCCCTAAGTGTCACCAGAGCCTCGGGATAATTACTACGCAACCAATTTTCGATTCTATCCCAACATCGCTTAACTCGCTCGACCAGAGGCCATGGATACATCCCAAAAGCTCTCCGCCATTCTTGATAACTCTCCTACAAAGAGAGAGATCAGTAATTAGTTATGCACAATGAATCAAATGAACCAGCACGGCGCCCTAGATGAATACCTACCGCATCACTCGCTGTATGTCCATTCATATAGCTTATGATATCAAACTTAAACATATCCATCTCACAAACAGTATCAAGCACAACAAGAACAGGGCCATAATTCATAGATCAAAGCAAATACAGGTAACATTGATTCAAAATGATATCAAGAGCACAATCAATATCCTAACCAATAAATCTAATCATCTGCACCTTATTTTCACAACTACTATAGATTATTCATCAAATCAATACAAAATAATGGATACCCAATTTGGTGAGGGGTGTAACCTTGAATGACGGAACTGGGTTTCCCAAATGATCGATTGGGTCGGTGAGGCCGAGGTCCCGATGGCAGAATTTCTCCCACAGAGAATCTTCAGACGCTGAGGACCTGAATTTGCGGCTAACACAAGCGGCGATGGCAGAGTCTTTAGGGCTTAATTTCGCGAAGATCAAGTGAAGCGCAAGATCGCCCAACGCCTCGACTTCCATTGCTGATTCCGACGAACTCAGTGGAAGCGGTGCCGCCTCTAATCGGTGTAGATATAGAGAATCCGTGTGTCAACTTCGACACATTCCCTTGCCTTTGGGTACTCACGAATTTCGCTTATTATTAAAATGATGCGAAACCAACGAAATTGCTAATTTTTACCCAAAAAAGTTGATGGGGATAGAAACTTTATCTACTTGAAAACGAGTTTTTTCAATTAAAACCTCATTTTTAATGTTCTTGATTGGTTTAAACTTTTTTTTTTTTTGCCCTTATTAATCCAAAATAACCTCCCACCGAATCATCCTCTCGGATAAGAATTTGGGATAAGCATCGAAGACCCGAAAATGGATTTATCTAATAAATACGGTGGAATGAACTTAAATCAATATGATATTTTTTTTTTATGAGAATAAAATTTGAAGGGTATGTGTGCGTTGTGGACAAGAGTAGCGGTGGCATACAAGTGTCACTCATCGAGTCATATCAAGGGCCGAGAGAGAATATCTCGATGAGACTAACGAGGACGAGACACTACTTAACACACCCAGAAGAGTGGTTATCGAGCTAAGGAGTAAGAACATAAGTGACAGTGTTAAAGGTAAGCTTGATGATGGTGAGATGACCCTCGAGCCATGACTAGAAAAATTGGGATTCCATAAAATGTTTTGACAAGCGAGTCTGGAGCCAAGTTCATATGAGCGAACGATGTAAGCTCGCTAAATTTAGTGGAAATCGGACTCCAAACGAACGCTACATGTTGACATATGAATCGTGTCAGATCAGTCTTATAATGTACAACAGGGGAGACCTTCTAATAATTTTCTTTGGAAGCACGTAAGTAAGAGCAAAACAACACTAAATCGACCCACGTAGGTACGCGGGTATAGCTTACGTTCTTACAAAAACAATTCAAGACAAACCAGTAATATGACCATACAAGAGAATAATACTAAGATCAAACAGTGTCAATTCATGATTTCAATTTCCGATCTAAAATCTTAAGATGAAAACAGGTCAGTCATTTCACTCACGCATATATAATTAAACAATCATTCAACCTCATAACGATCTTATACGTTCGTGAACGTTTCACAACACCAAACAAAAGAGAAATAAAATTAAGCATTGTGGTGGTTGTTAATTTGTAAAGGGTAAGTCAAGGTAGCAATATGGTTATGAGCCACAGTTCCAATCCAAAGCTTCCCATGAACTTCTCTAACTTCACTCATCAGCTTCATAACTTCACCCTTTTGATCCTCAAGAACATCTAAAAGCTCTCCATGTTCACTAAAAAGAGAGATGACAGTGTACATTTTCATGCCCATAAGCCTGGCCAGCAAGCTCATTCTCAATGGCAGCCTGAAATAGATACTCCTTATCCATGGATTGTGTGTCAGTATCTCTTGTGCTTTTGTTCTACAGCAATCTATGGCTACCCAATACTCGTTTCTTTCGTTTCTTCTTACGTTGTCTGGAAACCCTGGAAGATTTGCTACTACCTCTACTTTTCCATTTCTTGATCCCCCTAGCCACACCTTCATTAATCTGCATCACAATAACGTTCGTATCAAAATATATTAACGTAATGTTTCGTTTCGTTTCGTTTAAACACTGTATTGTAGTCCCGTACTCTCAGCTAAACACTATATCGTAGTCTCGTATTCTTAATTTTTGTTTAGGGTTTAGGGTTCAAGGCATTTGGTCTCTATATTAGTCATGGTACTTCCGTTTTGGTCTCTATGCTTTCGGAAAAGGATCGTTTTTTTTTGATAACTTGTTTTTGAAATGCATTCATAGATTTGCTCTAAAGGGTCTCTATTGTATATAGAATTCGTGTTAGAATATTGCTCGAAAACTAAAACGAACGATCGTTGAAAGTATAGGGATGACCAAAGCGGGTTTTTTGAAATTATAGAGACTAAACAATGAGGTACGATTAGAAGTAAAAGAACGAAAACATAATTCAAAATACCTGCAATTAGTAGTTTCAGTATAAAGAAGGAAGCTATGATCTTTAGACAATTGCACACCATTCGGAAAGGCCAAGCCATTCAACACGACATGAGTTGTTTTAGTAGGAGGATCATATCTCAAAAGCCTACCCGAAGCTTCTCCTTCCAACAAGATGAAGAAATGATCACTGCCCACAACAAAAAAAAACCGACATTTAAGCTGATGAGTAGCGATAAATTTGATTATATCAATACTTTTAACGACGGGTATCGAGTACTCACACTCGATTATATCTCTTGCTCGTGTCGGTGAAGAAGATGGAGCCATTGTTATGGATATCAAGATCATTGGCAAAGAGAATGGGAGTGCCATCAACATGGGTAGCCAAGGGAGTGGCAATGCCCCCTTGAGGGCCAACCATAAGAAGCCCATAATATGCATCAGCAATGTACAAATTCCCTGTTTGTTTCTCAAATCTTAGGCCAAGTGGCCTTCCACATTTCTTCTCATTCTTCCATTGTTTGGCTGTGGTTGAATCAACCCCTTGTGCACATTCCTTCTCTGACCTAATTTCAATTCCATTCAAACAAAATTTAACCAAAAACGACGTCCTAATACCATTTTTCGAGTTTTGAAATATTTTAATCGACGATCTAAGACTAGAACCAATATGATTAGTGGACTCTTCGATGAGTTCCACGAACCAACCAGACCCACAAAGTAGCATCATAGGTGCAACGCGCGAGGGACATGGTTAAACAAAAATTAATAATTACCATTTTGTTGTGACAATTGCAAAAGTCTCCCATCCAACTTCCTCACCCATCCATCTAACAATGCGGCCATCAGCAAGCCCAGTGTAAGGCCCACGGCCCAAAGCATCAAACTCCAAGGATTCAGGCCCAAAAACCTGATCTTCGAATTCCAAATTTCCAAGGCCCAAACGGCTCTGATTGTCCTTGGGCCAATGGCCCATTACCTGGCTGTAAGGTGCAATATCATGCTTGACGGGCCTGAAATCGTGGCCTCCAACTGGGCCCATTTTAAATGGGTCGACTAGTATAAAGCCCAAGCCCAGAACAAGGAGAAAAAGGACAGGGTGCTGAAGGAAAGACTCTTCCTTTACTGCTCTTTTCTTCTCCATCTGAAACTAAGTGTAGAGAGAGAAAGAGGAGAGAGAGAGAGAGAGGGGTTTGGGAGTCTCAAATGGAGGAGTTGAAATAGTTGGTGATTTATGAAGGGTTGGAGGAGGGCCCTAATTGTGTGGGAGGGTTTTTAGGGTTGAAATTAGGTTACTTTTGGTTGAAATGTGTATGTTTTATGTGTTTCAATTTCTTATTTCTTATGGTTGGGTGGTAGCATTCCATTCCATTGTTTCTTAGATTTTCATGCTACTCGTGTTTCGATTCTTTTACGTTCAACAACAAATGGGAAAACAGACTTTCATTTCTAACTTCTTAATTGACGATACATGTCTTAACTCTTTTGAATAGCTCGATTGTTGCATTGCAGTTCTTAATTGTGTCGAAGCATTGAAGATGATTTCATTCCATACCAATTTCTTTGTCATGCAAATCTTAACAAATATTTTCTTTCCAGTTTTAAGATTTGGCCTTTTGAATGCAAGGATGTGATATTTTTTGATCAACCCAAAATTTTGTATTGGTCGAATTGGCTGCCTAAATGAATCAAATTGCAACATCTATTTGAAAGATTTTCAGGTTGAGTTGGGTTGTTGATGGTTTAAATCTTTTTTTTTGTTAAAAAAAAAAAAAAACTCTAAAATCTCATAAAGATCATACATTAAACATCCAAAATTGCAACATATCATTACTATAAGCTACATACGTTGAATGATCTTAATCTTCGTAGCCATCCAAGAAGTAAGGTCGAAGCAAAATTTTGAAACTGCCCAAGTTTTTAAAAAATCCAACTCAACTAAAAATAATAAAAAGTCTAACACAATCCAACTCCTACGTTTTGGATTGGATAATCGGGTTGAAACGAAATCAAACCAGTTACACTTTTAGCCTTTAAAAATTTGGCTAGCTTTTACTAAGTTGTACAATTTTAATATCAATTCTTCGATTCATTTTCTTTTACTTGCTTCTAGTCAAATGCATGCAGGAAAAAAATAAGAGAACGAAACATGAGCAGTGTTTAACGTATAATAGATCATATCTGTACATAATAAGATAATCACTGATATGATCTATTCTACGTTTATTATTACTGATATGATCTATTCTACGATTAAGAACATTAAGTACGTTTAACAAGCAGAACATTAAGTATTAAATGATACATTTAAGCCCCATTTTCCTTTCAATCTTGCAGGTTGCAGGGCAATGTTTATTGTACATTCAATTGCTTTAATAATGGAGGGAGTGTTAGAAATACCTTAGCGAATTGATTTCCTCAGCCAGCATCACTCTCCATTGGCATGGCTGAAGCTGGGTTCAGATCAGAGAACCTAAAACACCCCAAAAGCCTTTCAGGAAGCTCACATTTTGTTTTCCCTTCAATGAAAAAGGCTATATCAGCTGTCAAGGCTGTGAAGTAATCAAACGCCAGATGAAACATGGCCCTTGCCATGATATTCGATCCCACGTCGATGTCGACTTCGAAAAAGTTGTCCCTTACGATGTATTTACATGCAAGAACACGCCCAACCACGCAGACTGCTCGGTTGCCAATAGCCCTTTTGACAATCCAAGGGCCTTTGACAATATCAGCAATCAGTTTAAGCCTCGAGTTTCTGAAGTGGTCGTCGCCTTTCAGGAACTGGTCGATTAATGAGCCTTTGACAATCGGCTCTGTCGATACGAAATAAGAAACAAGATTGTAGTTCTGTTTGTTTGGAAGTTGGAGATTAAATGCCCAGATGAAAGGTCTAGGACCTGTAGGAAATGAATCGTTAATCGCCTTCTGAATACGGTTGTTTGGATGGTTCAAGATCTCTCCGATCTTTGCAGAGCTTCTTATCCAGTCGAAACCGAGCGGTTTTAGAATCGATTCGCCAGCAGGAACTTTTGCCTTCGTTGAGAAATACTCGGGACCTCGCACCAGGAACTTATCTCCATGAGGAGAATCCCAACAATTTGAATAGTTACCATTTGCACCAAAAAGGGGAACGTTCCCTCCTGATCTCACTTTCTCAATCCACTCAAGCTCATCTTCACCAGAAGGAGCCATAAGTCATCCTGTAAACAATAACATATATGTATATTTTAACTGTTAAAATCAGAGAAGTACAAAAGGATCTAAAAAAGAGCAAACAATTTAGGCTGAGTTACAAAACTACCATCGACTTCTTGTAACCATGTAAAAAATATCTGATGAAAATTGGGATAAAAAAAATAGTATGAAGGCGCTTGGGTCTCAATTTCGTTTATGCAACATTCCACGCTACCAGATATTGTCCTCTTTAGGCTTTCCCTTTTGGTTTCTCCCTCAAGGTTTTAAAACGCGTCTGATAGGGAGAGGTTTTCACAGTCTTATAAAGAATGTTTCGTTCTCCTCCCCGACCGATGTGAGATCTCACAATCCACCCCCTTTTGAGGCCTAGCGTCCTCGCTGGCACTCGTTCCCTTCTCCAATTGAAGTGGGACCCCCCAATCCACCCCTTTCGAGATCCAACATCCTTATTGGCACATCTCCCGATATCTGGCTCTCATAAAATTTAGAACAGTCCAAACCCACCGCTAGCAAGATATTGTCTTCTTTGGACTTTCCCTTTCGGACTTACCCTCAAAGTTTTAAAACGCGTCTGTTAGAGAGAGGTTTTCGCACCCTTATAAAAATGCTTCGTTCTCCTCCCCAACCGTTGTGGAATCTTACAGTTTCTAGGCTACCCCACACCTTTCCTAGTCTCACTTTCAATCTAACACTCACAAATTTTCTAGTCTAAATAAGTTTCGACATGTTTATGAAAAGACAATGATACCATTGTAACTTTTGAAAGAACATGTTTATTTTTTAAATCAAAGACAAGGCTCAAAGTTGTTTTCTGCAACTTAGCCAAGAATGTATGCAAATAGTACTTTTGTTGAGAAGACAAAGGAGGAGAATTCACTATGATGAAAGAATGGTACAACTTAGGACAGTAGCTAACAGTTCCATCCAATATATATGCGCAAAGGAAGAGTTCTAGACGGCATTAATCCCTCAGCTACCACCTAATTTACAAGAACGCAAGAGCCTCAACCTGGTCTCTAGTAAAACCTTTAACTCCCACCCACCCTATGTTTCTAGTCTGATCTGCACAACGACATAATTATGCATGGAGAGCGAACAGAGACTTGAATAATCAATACTTGGAAGATTTCTGTTTGACAAGAGTAAGTTCTTAACACTGCCAGATTTCTTTGTCAATTGATCTCAGTGGTGGAGTGAAAAACAATAAAGAATTATATGATCAGAATCAAACAAACAAACACTTATTTACCGAGCAACAGAAAAGAGCTACTGAATATGCTTTACCTCGTTCAAAAAAAAAAAACTCACAATAACGTCACACTGTGACGTATAATTATATGATCAGAAAAACTCAAGGAAAGAAAAGATTCTCGACCGTAAAGTCCAGTCTGTTCCCAATTGATCTGATGGCTTATGATGCCTTTTTGGACTTCATCAAATCCCTTAACATTTTTGCTAATTTCAAAAACAGAAAACTAAATCATGCCTCAAGTGAACTTTCGAATCACCAAAAGCTTTACATTCAGTAGAAATTTTGACCCAACATGAATGAATAAGAACAGAGTTTATAAGTAGACCAAGAATCAGCAATTTCTGTTCATGCATTCAGGCAGATAATGGTCATTCTTAACTTCTTACACAATTCAGTTCATAATCTACACAAATTTACCACTAGCCACAAAACAATGAATCCGAAGTTCGATCTAGTCGAAAACTCGATCACTACAAAACAATCAAATCAATCAATATCCACTCAGTTTCATAGTAAGAAATGCAAGTAAAACCTTCCACAATCTCAAACAAATCGAAGCAAACTCATACCTAAGAACACGCAATCGAAGAAACAGGAGAAAAAAAACCTCAATCGCGAGCCGCAGAGAAGAAATTCCAGCAATGGAGCGATGCTCTGGAAACCCTAATCTTGGAAGAGAATTGAAACTCTACCTTCTTTCTTTATAAGTTCAATCTTCTCGAAATCTCCACACGTTGTTTTCATTGAAATGCTGGAAGATTGAAGAAGAAATGGCCGAATCTGCGAATAGTGTTGTTTCTTCACTTTCAGAGCGTTGAGTAGATTCGCGCTTAGGATTTTGGTGGAAGTTAGCCGCTGCACAATAAAGAACGCATCTCAAGAACTGTTGCGGCCATTGAAGGCTCTGCTAAAGATGAAAAACTCAAACGGCCACAAGCATTAATGACATAACTTTTATGGATAGCAGTTGGTTTACTAATGGCGGTTGATGCATTGAATGTCTGACGAACCGATCATAATTCAGTTGGTTAACATATATATATCGTCCACGTTTAAAGTTGGAAGGTTTGAGCTAATCTAGTTTAGGACGGCTAGCTTTCTCACCTGTTCGTCAACTCGAGTATAATAAATGGGTTAGCTCTCTCACCTGTTCGTTAACTCGAATATAATAAATGGTAAAGACAGATATCACCTGTTAGATAAATACGACTTTCCATAATGGTATGATATTGTCCACTTTGAGCATGAGCGAGCATTCCCTTATAAACCCACGATCATTCCCTAAATTAGGGGGCTTTCATCATCCAACATCTCCCGTCTCGTCTCCTTTTTTTTTTTTTTCCACGGATTTGCCAATCTATTAGCACGACTAAGTTTAGGGCATGACTAGTATTCTTATGATATTGTCCACTTTGAGTAAGCTCTCATGGCTGTATTTTGGACTTCCCCGAAAGGCCTCAAATGAATAGAGAGAGTATTCGTTGATTATAAACGCATGATCATTCCATAAAATAGCAGATGTGGGACTTTCATCATCCAACATCACCGAGTAATAAATTAGAGTTTGAAAGCTCACCGATTGCTTTGTCACGTTGAAGTCTCGACATTTCCACATGCGTAGTTCAGAAATAATTCCAAATATTAATTTCGGACGATGTTAATTAATATATTGATATAAATGGATTTTTTTTAATGAAAGATATTAAAAATCTTATAAATTCAAATGATTTCTTTGAAAAGATGAAAATTATTAAAAAAAAAATTGCGAGAAAATAAATAATTATCCAACAAAGTTTAATATAAATAAAAGTATTATTTTATGAATGGTAACATACATTATAATATATGTAATTTAAGATATTTACTTTTAAAAACTATTTTTACATAAAATGTTTATATTTGTAATTTAGAATTTAAAAGAACTAAAATGTGTTTTAAAAAGTTAAAAAATATATATATAAATAATTTTTATGTGAACTCTAATAATATTATTAAAATTTTAAAATAATTCTAAAATTACCTTTTTTTTTTTTTTTTAACTTTCAAAAAAATATTTAAAAATATTTTAAATTTTCAAAAATTTCTTTAATACTCCTAACAAAAAATTATTCAAAAACTTCAAAAATACTTTAAAACTTTTTTAAAATTTTAAAAAATACATATATCGTTAGTACCACGTTTCAAAAATACTCGTGAATTTTTCAAAATAACGTTAAGACGTCTAGAGATAATCTATGAGGTGTTGATAGACGGTTTTTATCTATATACTAACAATATAAATTTTTAAATTTTTTTTACAATGGTGAAGAGTGTTAATACTAGTTTTAAAATTTCATGGGTATTTTCTAAACGTACATTAAGGTAAGAGTATTTTTTAACTTTTTTAAAAAGAATTAAACTTTTAAAAATTAAATGTATTTTTTAAACGAAGTATTAACGGTTTCCATCCAAAATTAAAGAGTATTTTTTAAACTTTTTTAAAAATTTAAATAGAAGTATTTTTTAAACAAAATACAAAGTTTAAGTATATTTTTATTAATTTAATCATTATTCTGTTTCATCTATTTACTTATTTCAAATGAATTAACTTATAGTAACGCACGTTGAAGATGATTCCTTACACGAATATTTAGGTTCTGTTTAGTTTTATCCAATCTAATAGAGATAGAACTCGAGAGCATACATGTTGGCGATGATTTCAAGTTCGGTTTAGGAATGTATATCGGGAAACCAAAACGTAAAATATGACCAAATTGAGGATCCAAATTTGAAAATAATGAATACGTTTTATTGGTTTTTTTTTTCTTTTCGAATTGGATCGAGCTATTGGGCTACATTTGGGCTTGGCTAAAGTTATAAGGCCATGATAATTTTTTTTTTGACTAAATTAATAAAAATACTCGTACGTATTTTATTTCAAAAAATCAAATAATAAATAATTACTAAATAAATTAAATAGTAATATCAATTTTACAAAACATAAATGTAAATAAGAGAGTAAAACTATGAAGAAATTTATAAAAAAAAATAATAATAATAAAGAACATAAATGAAATTGACCAAGTACAGAAACGAGCATGAGATTTTCAAATTGCTCGATATATTAGAATTATTAAAAAAACCCAACGATCCAAAAAATTTGGTCAGTTCAATTTAATACGTACCACTTAATTTAAATTATAAATTTATTTAGATTGGATTGTATTTAAATTAATAACAATTCTGTAAATTAAATTAATTCGGGATGGTCTTAAAATTAACTTATTTAATTTAAAATATATATTAAAATTGAGTTGCAAATTTTAATTAAATATTTAAAAATAAGTAACGTTTTATTTTGATTAAAATAAAACTATAAAAATGATCGGAACAATCTGAACCCACGAAAAGATGTGCGCAGCGGAATGGTGAGGAGAGAGAAAGTTGGTGTGAAAGGGTATGAAATATGGAGAGAAGAAAGAGTCAAGCCTCCAGTGTAACAGTGTTTTTTTAAAGTCAAACTGACAAAAACATCAGACTCTCGCATGGAACATAAACAACAATAGTATTTGTTACCCACAAAACATCATTAAAAATGTCACAATTGTCAAACAAAAAGACACAAAATTTACTATTTTTTATTTTTATACAAGACTTCTTAGATTATAAGTTATTGTTCTTCGTCAAGCTTGCTAATGAGAAACGGACTTCAAAAAATGGGCGATTGTAGATAATGTTTTATAACAACTTGTTTTTTCTTTTTTAAATGTATCCTAAATTGCTCGATTGGATTATGTTTTAAAATATGGTTGCTAATAAATATAGTCTATTTTAGTTGGATACGTATCGTCGTAGGTTTCCACACCCTTATAAGAAATGTTTGATGTTTGATTCTTCTCTCCAATCTGTGAGATCTCACAATCCACCCCTCTTGGAGGCTTAGCGTCCTCGTTGACACACAATTCGGTGTTTAGCTCTGATACCATTTGTAATAGCTCAAATCCACCGTTAACATATATTGTCTGATTTTGAGTCTTATGGTTTTAAAACGCGTTTGTTAAGGAGATTTTTTCACACCCTTATAAGGAATGCTTCGTTCTTCTCTCCAACCGATGTGGGATCTTACACTAAGATATTTGTCTAAGAAGAAAGTCTTTGCAACGCTTAGAGAGGTAGTCGTAGAGGTGTGAAGACTATCGTTTCATCTATCTATTCATTCCTTAGAGATTTTCTACAGTTAGACAACCACGGTTTAAAGACATTTGAACGGAGACTTTAATTTAACAGTTTTTTCTCGTAATTTCAATCTTTTAAGTATTAATTCATATAATTTTAATATCAATAATTAAAAAAAAAATATTAAAATATAAAGGATTAGATTAAAAAAATTTAAATTGAATCAATATCCCATAAATGAAAATGCCACGTCATAGACACGTGTACTGCTAAATATTAGTACGTAATGTTGTTGGTCCGAATTCTGTCCATTTTATTTGGTCAGACTTCGACACATAAGTAACTTTTAAATTAATGAAAAAAAAAAAGAAAATCCACGTGTGTAAATCATTTCACAAATGTTAAAAAGGGGGGAAAAAGTTACGTCCCCGGCTCATAAATTCTATAAAAATATGGGGTCCTCCTGTAATTAATGTGAAACTTTTGGGCTCCTTTGCAAGTTCTAAATAAAATCCCTTCTCACGTTTTAATTTTCTAATTTTCAATCTACCGTCCACTCTCCTACTTACATAGGGTGAAAACATAAACAACATGGAAAATAAAGACTAAAATGAAATAAATAAACTATCAAACTATCAATGGAAGGATAGATCGGGTTAAGATATTATACATCTATTCTAATCGTTAGTCGTCTATCAATACTCTACATCTTCATATTGGTGAAAGTAAAAAAGTAATTTATTTAAGTTTTCACGTTTCTTAATTCTAGATAAATTTATAATCCTGTAATAGCATAAACCTACTTCCGATATTGTTCGCTTTAACACATTACGTATCGCCGTCAGTCTCATGGTTTTAAAATGCGTTTACTAGGGAGAGGTTTCTACACCCTTATAAGTAATGTTTCGTTCCCCTCTCTAACCGATGTGTGATCTCACAATCCGCCCCCTTAGGACCCAAGCATGACCATGACACCCAGCATCTTCGCTTGCACACCGCCCAGTATCCGGCTTTGATACCATTCATAACAGTCCAAACCCATTGCAGATATTGTCCGTTTTTGCCTGTTACGTATCGTCGTCAGCATCACGGTTTTAAAATGTGTCTACTAGGGAGAAGTTTCTACACCCTTATAAGGAATGTTTCGTTCTTCTCTCCAACAGATGTGGGATCTCACAATCTATCCCCTTGGGGTCAGCATCCTTGGTGTCTAACTTCGATACCATTTGTAACAGCGCAAACCCACTACAGATATTGTCCGTTTTGGTATGTTACGTGACGCCATCAGCCTCACGGTTTTAAAACGCATCTACTAAGGAGAGATTTGTACACCCTTATAAGAAATGCTTTGTTCCCCTCTCCAACAAACGTGGGATCTCACAATCTACCCCATTGGGGCCAGCATCCTTGGTGTCTGACTCCGATACCATTTGTAACAATGCAAACCCATAGCAACTTTGGCTCGTTATTTATTGCCATCAGCCTCACGATTTTATAACATGTCTATTAGAGTGATTTTTACACTCAAATAAGTAATGTTTCGTTCCTCTCTCTAACCTATGATACGTAAAAGGCGACAACAATCAAAAGTCAAACTTAATTGTAAGACTATTTTGATAATTTGAAAGTCAAGTACAAGAAGGAAATCATCACTTAGTCAAAAGCTTTGAACACACACACCACACCACACACACACACACGTTTTGTGTAATAAAGACCAATCATGTTGGGAAAAAGAAACAAGACAACTTAACAACACTTCATTGTTTTCGTGTTGATCTCTTAGTAGCATGTCGTGGTCCTTTTGCATTTCGACAAACCCCATCACATCTTGTTATCTTCATTGTCAGCAAACAAATATGTAATTATTTTTCCTTACTAAATTTGCCTCATAACATTGTGACAACACCATTTTATTGTCTTGTAACAAGAATTCGCATGGGGCCGCCACGTCTCACTCCGTTTCTAGGGTTCTTTCATCTATTTACACATGAAAAACGAGATATTTAAAATAAAATATCTCGAGACCCATTAGATAATTAACTAGGTTTCATTCGATAACCCTTTGATGTAAGTTTCATTTAAAAGATAAAATATGTATTAACTACCGATGGTTAAAAAACACATTTGAATTTTAACCCAAATTTTAAAAATAAGATTTAAATTTTCGAAACTTTTATATATATATATATTTATTGATCCAAACTTTGACTTATTTTATTTAACATGTGTTTTTAAAGATAGGCGATAAAAGAACAAAAAACGGATATCGAACCACTTGCATTTTAAATTTAATTTTTAAAAATAAAAAAACTAAATGATTAACGAAAATAAAGCTTATAAATATTTAATACTCTTGAATTTTTTGTCGAGTCTCTTAATATTTTCAAAAAAAAAAAATATATATATTTTTATTAAATTTTTTTTCTAGAATTGGGCAAAAATAAAAATTAATGAAAAGAAATTTAATTTTAATTTTAAATTTTTGGTTTATAAATAAACAACTACGTTTGGTAACCCATCCATATTTATGTTTTTAAAAATGAAAAACGTTTTTTTTTCTTTTTTTAATATAAAAAATTTAAAAATAAAGATATTTGGATTTTAAACCTTTTTTAAAATAAAAACTTAACCGGACATTGAACCTGGTTGCGTAATCGTGGTTGGTAGGGGAAGGAAGTAAACACTCAACATTTATTTTATTTATTTTGATTTTATCTCAACCTTTATCTTTATTTTAATATTTTCTTAATTTTCTTAATTTATTATTTTATTCAAATACAAACTTTACATTTTCAAAAATAAAAAATAATTTTAAGAAAATTTTCAAAAAAAAAAAAAAACTTATATTTGTTAAAAAAAAAAAAAATCAAAACCATCTTTAAATTTTTTTAGAAATTAAAAAAAAAAAAAAAACTCTGGAGATAACTTAGAAAGACGATTTCGTCCATATACTGACAGTAAGAACTCTCTTATACAATTTTTTTTTTTTTTTTACAAAAACGTAAATACTACGGTTAAAATTTTATGGGTATTTTCTAAACGAAATACTAACAGCATGGTATTTTGAAAGATATTAATAAAACAAAATACTAATAGTTTTTGTATCAATTACTTATTTTTTTTTTTTATATAAAATTTTAAATTTATTAAAAAGACATTTTAAAAATTTACGAGTCAGAGATCAAATAGACATAAATTTGGAACGACTAATAAAAATAATAATAATAAAAAAATAAAATTATGCATGTGATATTAAAAAAAGCAGCAAAATGGAGAAGGGTAAGTAGGATGAAATGTCACATTTTTTTGGCCTGAAAATATGTGAGGCTTTATGTGGAAAGTACTCCAAAAGCGGAAAAAGGAAACAACATTGGACGGCTGATGGCTGAGGATAATGGACGGTCGAGGATGTTCGAATGTTCCAGGAAGCTGTCTGGTTTGGTTGTTTTATTTCCAATTTATTTTATTAAGTTGGATAAAAGGATCATCCTTTTTGCCTTTTTTGGATACACACACACTCACTCACTCACTCCAAATCTCAAACCGTGTTGGCTTTCAAACCCTAATCCAAAACCTCATCCATCCATATATCCCACATGTCGCGCTGTTAATATTTCCACTCGATCTCTTTTTTTTGGTAATGGAAGATTTCTTGTTTAAACGGAGAGTTAATGAGGAGGTGGTGATAGATTTTTTTTTTTTTTTTACGTTAGCTAAATAGATTCCTTGTTGCTGTCTCTAACCTCGTTGTTGGCCTCGTGAATTTTAGAAATTTTCATCAACACTTCTGTTGTTGAAAATAAAAAATATCATTCTTAGTCGCCCCCATGAACTGTACACGGTGCAGAGTCAGAATTGTAACAGTTCAAGCTCACTATTAGTAGATATTGTATGTTTTGGTTTGTTACGTGTTTTAAAATGTATCTACTAGGGAGATGTTTCCATACCCTTATAAGGAATGTTTCGTTCTCCTCTCAAATCAATGTGAGATCTCACAATTCATCCCCATTGGGAGCCCAACGTTCTTGTTGGCACATCGCCCAGTGTTTAGCTCATGTCTAGAATTTGAAGTCCAGGTTTAAGACCTGATGACTGCAACATTCTTGTGTGATATGGTCACGTTACTTACTCCTTACTTTTAAGATTGAAGACTATCTTCACAAACTAACACGAAACCTTCCAGCATGATTTGTCTTCACTCATATGCATTCTGGGAAAATTCCCGGAACCGAACCCAACATAGAATTGCTCAAAACAAAGCACAC